ATTGAAATGAACAGAATTTACTTTTCATCAAGTCTTTGTTAGAGCTAGACGACAGATGACTTGGGTATTTGCCTGCAGGAATAACACTGAAATTCAGGTGTAAGCCCCCCAGGCTCCAATAATCCTTCATGATGTGTCGGTCCCATTAAAGCATGTAATCAGGAATGTGTGCAAAGCAGGTGTGTTAATAATGCTCCCCTCACAAACGCTGCCTACCTTTGGATACCTTACATCTGTGATGTCATGGCAGACCTGGGAGGGGAGGGAGGCGGGATGAGGTGAGGCCAGCGAGGAGTATTTTCACAGATCGGCAAGTCCAGACAGAAAGGCAGAGTGAAAATAGCTCGAGGGGCAAACAAGGTAACCTTTTTCAAAAGACGCTTCAGTGGGTGTCTGCCAAATCCCACACAATGCTGTCTGCAGCAAATGTCTGTGTTGCATTTGCACTGCAGAACAAAATATCCTAGCATGTCTGGGTGCATCTTTAAGGCAGATCAAACCTTCAAACGTGGTCAAATCACACCATTTTTGTTATTTAATATCTTCACAGAAAACATCCATTTTGCAAGGAAACCGTAACTCGTAAAAAGAGGCAGTAATGGCATAGGACTGATGCATTAGAACAGAATGTGCTAATCATTAAAAAGCACAAACAAAACTCTTTTTGATTAAATGAAAACTATTTATTTATTGCATAGATTAATTTGGTTGTTGCACGAAATGCAAGAACGTTTCACTTTGCAGCCCTTTTACTCTTTGATTTGACCACATTTTCTGGTTTCTAGTTGTTGATTTTAAAATGAGTGCCAACACGATTCAATAAGCAACATGTTACAATATGCAGAAGTTACGCTGGTATTCTCAGATCCCAAACATGTTCCACTGAGGTCATGCACATCTTGTGTTCGCAGCACCTTAGCCACAAAATACTATAATAAGATGTCCAGCATAGTAACTGTTGACATGAATAAGATCCGGAGAAAAACATTTCCTAATTTACTAGGAAGATTACCGTGTCCCTTCAAAGACATGTTTGTGATTCATGGAGGGGGGAGGATAAAGTGTACGACAAGCCTGGACATGCAAGCCAGGACGTCCCTATTAAAGAGCCGCTGGAGTCTAAAAATGGGGAGAGATGAGGTGCGGGGATCAGATGGACGCTTGTTTACAAGATAAGTTTACCGAATTATAACTTCATGGATGGAAAGTGAGATGATGTTAGGTTTCCCTCAGAAGAAAACATCTAACTAAATGGCAGCTCACCTCAAAAATCAGGTTCTTCCTCAGGTGCTTTTGACAGTTTTTCTAATTTAGATGAAACTTTAAGGAAATAGATGATATGTTGCACAAAATAAATTCTAGAGTACTTTTGAGGATCACACGTTTGTTTAGGTCTGTCAAAAACAATCGGAAAAGTGCTCAAATGTCTACGGGAACGGGAGTGCTCAATCCAAGAGCCACACTTTTACCGGCCAAATCGTCTTTGTGTCCTGAGGTCAGGGAGCATCCTTTATGAGTTCCTTCATGTGCTCAGACTTCATTCATGGGTAATGTACCAAACAGAGTAGATTACTCCTCATTCTTCATTCTCTCTGCTCATTCAAGGAAGCCCAACTAACCCCCCACCCCGCTGTCTTTGTTGTCCTGTTTGTCACATTGACAAGGAAACAACTGGAATTCCTGAATTTGGAACGTCATACCCCCTTTGCCGCTCACCAACAATAAATGCTATTTAGGCTTCACTTTAAGAAATAAACAATTAGGTGAGCCAGTTCTTAAAGAACACCTGAAGTTTTGGCATCTTGTGTCGTCATCGGGGACCGTTGATGGATCCACCGGATGTTCAGGACTGAATGATTGCCATCAGAGACTTGTTTGTGTTTTCTTAAGTCCTTCAATAGCAGACTGAAGAGCTCCACGTTGGTTCTGCATGAGGAGAAGTGCTAGGACCCTTCTGGTGTTTACATACACTCACTCATCCATCTCTCACACTAAAGTGATGGAGGACTGTTGGGCAATGAGGCATTGACATCCAGCCCATGGCTTGTTTGTCTCCAGTGAGCAGTAGCTGCTTCGGTGCAAATACCTAACAAAATGTATTAGCTGTTACTTGGCTTAATAATTGATGTAATAAAATATATTTTGGTTTTGCATTAATAATTAGTAGAACAGAGTGCATGAAAAACAATTAGGTGACTTTTTACCCCCTCTGAAACCCCATCTATAAACCTATGTATGCAAATAATGAGAGTTAGGATATTACTCATCTGTTTGTATAAAATGGATGGTTACTGAGTGTAAATGCTTTTAAATATTCTCATTAGGGCTGCACAATATATCGAAAAATTATCGTCATCAGGATAACAGGACGTGCGATAGGCCCATCGCAAAGCACGTCAAAAACGGCGTTAAATGTTTGGTTCAACATTTCCATCCGTGTCATACATCAACTTTTTGTAAACCAGCTCTGTTTTTTACGCGGAAGTATTATTTGACCAATCAAATGTAGCCCTTCTGATATGCGGCCAATCAGATGGTTCCGTTCACGTAATACGCCCGCCCCCTACGTAGACCCTTAGGATGGAAAGCAACACCCTAACTGAGTTAGCGGCGCTGTTCCCTTGTTCGTCATGCTGGCTCAGAGCAACGAACGCACTTTGTGCTGATGTTTCTGGAATCAGCGCTGCTTTCAAACGTCAACGTGAGTCCGCTCGGTGTCATTAATCATTTTTACCGGGCTGACTCCGACATGTGCCGGTGAAACAACCCACCTTCATGTCGCTAGTGTTCCACCGGGTGGTGATGTTAGCCCCAGGCTCCGGTTAGCTTCCAGCTAAAAGGCTACAGCACTCTCCTCCCAGTCCCCCCCTGAGCTGCTAAAGAGGGCCTGGAAAAGTTCCCCCACACATCAAAGTGATTTTTCATTTATGAGCTTTTATAACCTTGTTAATCAGGATAGTTGATTTGCTGCTTCACATAAACTGTCAGCCAGAAGCTCTGCTAGCCGGTTATCTTAGAGGAGCTAGTTCAATTTGTTAGCTTGTTATCAGAATCATAGTTGCAGTTTCATCATCTGAGCTGCTTTTTAAGATCTAGCTAAACTTGTTCAATTTGGGGTTAAAAACAAATGTTTTCACATATTTTCCATGTAGTTTTTTTTGCCAGTTCCTCTTCTGAAAGGTAGACAATTGTTTTTCTCTTTCCCTCAGAAAATCTTAATGTTCTCCTAGTTTGGGCCAGCACAGTTCACTTCCCAGTTACAGCAACAGCCTTATATCATAACCACATAAGTGGAGAAAATGCTCAGTAGCAATGAGAGAATTTGCTGTTGCATTTAAGTGATGTTAACTATTATTTAACATTTAAACTTATTTTCTGATATCTTTATTTATTCAAAAAACCCTGGTAAGAGATGTTTTTCTGTATTTGGAGCATCAGAAAAAGTTTTATGGTGGAGGTGATGTTTTAAGGTCACTGAGAAACTGCATGCATGCAGTTTGTTGTTTTGCTGCTAATACAGTAGCAGGTGCAGCTGCTAATACAGTAGCAGGTGCAGCTGCTAATACAGTAGCAGGTGCAGCTGCTAATACAGTAGAGGGTGCAGCTGCTAATACAGTAGCAGATGCAGCTGCTAATACAGTAACGGGTGCAGCTGCTAATGCAGTAGCAGGTGCAGCCGCTAATACGGTAGCGGGTGCAGCTGCTAATACGGTAGCGGGTGCAGCTGCTAATACGGTAGCGGGTGCAGCTGCTAATACAGTAGCAGGTGCAGCTGCTAATACGGTAGCGGGTGCAGCTGCTAATACAGTAGCAGGTGCAGCTGCTAATACGGTAGCAGGTGCAGCTGCTAATACAGTAGCAGGTGCAGCTGCTAATACGGTAGCGGGTGCAGCTGCTAATACAGTAGCAGGTGCAGCTGCTAATACAGTAGCAGGTGCAGCTGCTAATGCAGTAGCAGGTGCAGCCGCTAATACAGTAGCGGGTGCAGCTGCTAATACAGTAGCAGGTGCAGCTGCTAATGCAGTAGCAGGTGCAGCCGCTAATACAGTAGCGGGTGCAGCTGCTAATACAGTAGCGGGTGCAGCCGCTAATACAGTAGCAGGTGCAGCTGCTAATACAGTAGCAGGTGCAGCTGCTAATGCAGTAGCAGGTGCAGCCGCTAATACAGTAGCAGGTGCAGCTGCTAATACAGTAGCAGGTGCAGCTGCTAATGCAGTAGCAGGTGCAGCCGCTAATACAGTAGCGGGTGCAGCTGCTAATACAGTAGCGGGTGCAGCCGCTAATACAGTAGCAGGTGCAGCCGCTAATACAGTAGCGGGTGCAGCCGCTAATACAGTAGCGGGTGCAGCTGCTAATACAGTAGCAGGTGCAGCCGCTAATACGGTAGCAGGCGCAGCTGCTAATACAGTAGCAGGTGCAGCTGCTAATACGGTAGCGGGTGCAGCCGCTAATACAGTAGCAGGCGCAGCTGCTAATACAGTAGCAGGTGCAGCTGCTAATACAGTAGCAGGCGCAGCTGCTAATACAGTAGCAGGCGCAGCTGCTAATACGGTAGCAGGCACAGCTGTTAATACGGTAGCGGGCGTAGCTGTTAATACGGTAGCGGGCGTAGCTGCTAATACGGTAGCGGGTGCAGCTGCTAATACAGTAGCAGGTGCAGCTGCTAATACGGTAGCAGGCGCAGCTGCTAATACGGTAGCAGGCACAGCTGTTAATACGGTAGCGGGCGTAGCTGCTAATACGGTAGCGGGTGCAGCTGCTAATACAGTAGCAGGTGCAGCTGCTAATACAGTAGCAGGTGCAGCTGCTAATACAGTAGCAGGTGCAGCTGCTAATACAGTAGCAGGTACAGCTGTTAATACAGTAGCAGGTGCAGCTGCTAATACAGTAGCAGGTGTAGCCGCTAATACAGTAGCAGGTGCAGCTGCTAATACAGTAGCGGGTGCAGCTGCTAATACAGTAGCAGGTGCAGCTGCTAATACAGTAGCAGGTGCAGCTGCTAATACAGTAGCAGGTGCAGCTGCTAATACAGTAGCAGGTGCAGCTGCTAATACAGTAGCAGGTGCAGCTGCTAATACAGTAGCAGGTGCAGCTGCATATTTTTGCAATAAAAACGTTTTGTTGTAATGGAATTCATGCATTAGTTTTTGTTTGCTTTGAACCCAAAGCAGACGTCACACGCCAGACGACATCAACACTGCATACTTTAGTATTTGTTCATTTATCGTGAGTAATATCGATATCGCAATATTAAGCACTGTTATCGAATATCGCAGGTTTTCCTAATATCGTGCAGCCCTAATTTAAATGCAAGTATTTTACTTACATTTAACTAATTATGTTGGCAAAGACACAATCTGAATTCATCAAACACATCTAGCTTGTAGCTTTGCCCTTTACAGTTGTTGGCACTTCAGATTCACACATGGAAAAAGTTTTAGTTTTACTTTTTATTGCTTTTTAAAAAAAGAAGATAAGTTCTACAAATTTGGCATGCAGAACGGCTGGCAGAAATGTAGAATACAAGGGCTGAGTACATTCCCAGCCCTGGCAGAACAAATGGTGCTGCTGTTTGGGTTCAGAGGAGATGGCCCTCAGAAAAAGCACTGCAGGAGGGAAGCAAAGAGGGGCGCAGGCAGGGAGGCAGGCGAGGACATTGAGATGGTTAACTCACATCAAACATCTCAGGCCCAACAAGTAGCACAGAACGAATCCCACATGGAATCAAAACTTCAAACACAGAAGATAGGATACACAGATTTCAGTGTAGAATTATTGATCATACCTAAAAAAATCAGAAGCTGTGAAAAATGTCACAACTATATTGGGATTTATTTAAAATGAGTAAGGCTGTAACATACTGGTAGACATTTCTTACCAAAAAACAGCATTTATGTAACTAATATTAGGTTTTAACGGGGTTAAATCTGTCTCTGTCAGACATGTGACCTGCCTGTCAGCCACACCCCCATAGTGCCATTTTAGGTGTATGACTCGCATTGATAGGAAAAGCTGCAGCTGAAGTTGGAGCAGCCAAAGAGTCAAAAGAATGGATAAAACGAACAAGGATGAATGCATCCCTTACAGAAATAAACTTGTGAAGGAGGCTAGAGATCGGCATTTACAGAAACTTTACAGTTGACATTGTAGATCTCTATGGCCTCAAAGGAAACAAACGGAGCTCAGATGTTTCATTACTGTGGAAAATATATATCACTTGAGTAAGCGAAGCACTACTTCAGCATATTTATAGTCAAGTAAAAATAAAAAGTAGTCCTTCAAAAACATGACTCCACTGCACACTGCTGCCAACTAGCAGTCAGCACTTGAACTGCACCAAAAGAAAAGACGATACACAAAAGTTTGCATGTAAAGTCTTCCACATATTTGATACATGGCTTTTGAATATCGATTCAATTTTACAAGAAAATAAAATCATGATATATTGCCATATCAATATTTACTTACATCTAGCGATGGGTACAGAATTCTGTACTTTTTAAGGTACCGACCGAATTCCATAGTACCGACCGAGCACCGATTCACGTCATTTGAAACGGTGCCTCATTTCGGTACCCGTCCTTCATAACGAGAACTTGCCTAGACAGCTGTGCATGCGCAAGAGCGTTATGTCGTCGCTCGCTGCGAGCCAGTTGTAAACAGAGCAGCACGGTAGAAAGAACGCACGCTAAAGCTTGGGTCCACTTCACTAAATGTGATGGGTAACTGGGTGATGATGAAACCAGCGACAACGATCTAAGTGAGACATCCTCATCTTAATCTGCTCCGGTAGGTAAATAAAATGTTTAAGATAACGTTAGCTTGATTTGTTAGCTTCCGTTCCGCTAGTGGTGTGTTCGCTGTCTCCTCGGAACTCCGAATTTCCAACTAGAAGAACATGAACGCGCTCTAAAGTTTGGCTTCACTTTACTAAATGCAACGGGTGATTGGGTGAAGATGAAACCAGCGACAACGATCTAAGTGTGAGGCATCATCGTTTTAATCTGCTCCAGCAGCTAAATAAACTGTTTAAGATAACGTTAGCTTGGTATGTTAGCTTCCATTGCCACCATTGTTATCAGCTAATGGTGCGTTCGCTTTCTCCTCGAAAATTCTAACTTCCCAGTAGTAAAAATCAAAAGAAAAAGGACGGCAAAAGGAATGAAGATACACAGTAAATTTAGTTCACAGTAAAGATGTTTGCTTCAGTTTAATTATCAGCTTATAAAACTACAAGGACGATGTTAAAATACAAACAGTTGTATGTTATTTATCGTGATATTTATCAAATATGGTTAGATATTGAGAAAAATATATATTTAATTATAAAAGAGAATTAAAATATTAAACACTCAAAAGTATCTAAAATTGGTACCGTTAAGTACCGGTATCGATTCCTAGGTACCGGGAATTAGTACCGGATCGATACTAGCTATTAAAACATTCATCTGAATCTATGACGCCCTCTTTCCTCTGAAGTGTGACTCAGGGTGTTTCTCAATGTCAAGGCGCCTGGCTTTGCAAGGTGATGTCTTGCGAAGCCAGGCGCCTTGCTTCCAAGGACACTGTCCTGTTTTGGTCAAAGAAAACCGTTAAATGGAACAGACTTGCATCACGGAAGCCGCGGTCACGTAAGATCACATGACACGTGGGGTAACGTTATATTTTATAGGTATAAGTTTCAATATAAATATATAATGAGCCTTTGACTTTTTAAATTGTGTAAATATTTGTTCAATTAAATATGTAAGCAAGTTACTACCTGCTAGCCACTGAAGCTGCAACTAACCAACCACAGAAAAACTTCTTTGGATCTAAAAAAATAACATTTCAGTTATCAGCCCAACAGCTACAATTAGATGACTTACATTTAAACTCGAAATCTTCCCCAGAAGTAGCTGCCGCCTTCTGATCCTTTTGAAAATACTGCGCTGTATTCTGGGAAATTTTTGACCAAGGCCAGGCTACAAGACACCTCCCCGTGTGTCCTTGCTCAGCTAGAACAGACGCCTCGGTAGTACATAAACACTGGAACACGTCTTGGCGGTTCCTGATGACGTATCTCCTAGGCAACCGGGTCGAGGCCAAGACATCAAGGCGAGGTTCCTTGGCATTGAGAAACACCCTCAGTCTGACGCATGACCACCAACAAATAATGCCACCAATAAAGCATTCATCTAAAGGGTGAAACACCAACATGACTCAGATAAGAAACCACACTGACTTCCTGATTAACAAATGAAAATGAGCACATCCAGATGTATTAATTTAACATTAATAATTTGATTGAAGTGCTTTGATTTCAAAGGCACTAACGTGATGAGGAATCGTGTCGGAACACGCTACTTTCTATGGGCATTTGAAGCATATAGTGATGACATCAAAGGCCTTTTGTTGATGCTTTCTGCACGAGAATGACTGAAAGCTTTGTTTGCTAGATCAGTTGAGTTACAGATGTGGTAACGTTAAAAGATACCACTTTAAATGATTTGTTCATGTAATGCCGCCGTAGTGTTTTTCCATCTTGTTTGTGCTCTGAAGCTCTTTGGGGTGGTAATCCTGATCACAGGACGCTGACGAGGACGTCTCATGTGGCACAGACAGCCCAGGGGATTCGTCTGTCATCTGTGGTGATTAAGACACAAAATCGAGCTGGAACGGTAACACTGCCCAACGCAGCACGCGATGCTGATAGGAAGGCTTTCAAATGTGTGTGGCAATCAAAGAGAAATAGTGATGCTAGCTCCTAATTAATAGCAGTTAGGAGTAAATATGCTGCTTTATTATTACTCTAAATATTTCATACGCATGTAGAAGCTGTGTTCAAATAGCTAAACTTCCGAATTAGGTTGTACACATTGTCTTTGCTGTGATTGGACAAGAGAAACAAAAAGATCAGTTCTGCCATGCTGGTTTTTCTTGTTCTACTTCCTAATTCTACAGTTTGAAGCCAAATTGAGATAGCGACAACATCCTTACAACACAACACACAATTAATGTAAACACATATGGTGTGGCTGAATCAAGGATTATACAAATAGCATAACCAGAGGCAGATCACATTGTAGTGCCATGTGCTGTGTGGGGTCCCGGTGTACAGACCAAACGAAAACAACAACCACATGCAACAAGACCACACTGACTCTAGAAATACAGGAGCATTTTTAGCTATTCCTGATCAAAATGTACATAAAGCACCTCCAATCCAACTAGAAATTATGTGAAGGCTGCTTAATGGTTTACAGATTCAGTGAGTAGAAATCATTAGTCGCCACGGTTCATTAAATTCCCTGGCACAATAAGTATCTCGCCAGAAGAATGTTTGTAATTGTGTTTCAGCTTTAATCATACCCAGGCGGGCTCATGGCGTTCAAGACACTGGAATCAAAATCCTATCGATCACATCTCCACTTTTTGGGGAGAAATTTGTCAGGGCCATTAAGTGCGTCTGCACACAGGTTGACTGAAGTTATTTACCAGGTCTGTTGGCAAAACCAAACCAAAAGAATGCTGTTTTCGATTAGGGGATGGAATCCATCACAACGACCAGTGATATTTGTTCAAGATGGTCCAACAGCTTGAGCACCAGAATCATCTCATTTATGAAGCTGTGTTGGCATTAGTTCTGTGTTGGCAGCCGATCTTTGCTTTTTAGTTTAACTCAGCAACTTTTTTTTTATAAGTGATGGCCATTATAGCGATGAGTGTAGGAATCTGGCCGAGTTCCACAGCAGGTTTCACAAGGATTTCAAAAATGAAAAATGAAGCCAGCGCACCAAGTTTGTTTAAAGTCCAACGGTCATCTGGGGAGAAAGGATACTCAAAACCAAAAAACTACAAGTTTGGCATTTTCTTGAACCCACTTCTTCAAGATTTCATGAATGGTTCAAAGTATGTATTTCTTCTTCTTTCAAATATAATTATTTTTATTAATTAGATCATGTTTGGATTAAGAGATAATCTGATAGTAGAACCATCACCAATTTCTGACTTTAGATCTTAAACTTCAATGAATGAAGATGATATTGGTCATACTGGAAGCTTTAATGCAGGAACCCACAATCCAGTGAGCGGTAAAGGGAGCAAACTTGTTAAAATTTATCTAAACATCAATGAATGACTTTTGTTGCTAGATTATTTTTCTTTTTGCACGATCAGTAATTATTGAACCCAATAACACTAACGATATTCGCAGCAAATTATTTAATCACAACAGGCAGTGCTGAAAAAATAAAATAAAGTTCTTCTGATTTTGCTATTGTGGCAAATAACTAATATCAATATCTTAAAAAGAAATAACATGAGTACATTTAAAAAATGCAGTTTTTCTAAGATGACTTAAATGATTGATGGGGTAAAAGTGTCCAAATCGACCTGGCTCTATGCAGAAAAGCTGTTCATCCTAAAACATCCTAAATCCAATAATAATTTGTCGTAACATTGAGGAATTTTTCCCCCATTCTTCTTTACATAATCGTTTTAATTCAGTCAACTTATTTTCCAGCATGAACTTCCTGTTTAAGGTCAAAGGTCAGATATTGTACTCCAGGATTTTCTGCTAGAGAGCAGAAATCATGGTTCCATTAATTACTGCACACAGTCCAGACCATCATACCACCACCACCGTGCTTGATCTAAATTCCGAAATGCAGCTTTAGTTTTAAATGGACGTGACAAAAGTATAAACATCACAAAAAGTTCCTCTTTGATTTATTAGGTCCACAGAACACATCATCAAAACTCTCTGTGTTTATTTGCTAACATTAAACTAGGTTTGAACATAAAAAATGCAAAAACAGAAGAAATCTGTACGGAGACAAATGGGTTGTTGCAGCACTGAACTGTTTAGTATGTTAGTTTTCCTCATCTTACAATCATTTTCATTTTTTACTAGAGCAGGATTTTGATTCTACGGTTAAAGTAGAATCAATAAAAAGCTTGTATGTCCAGAGGGTCTCAATCTCTACAGTTACAGGAACAGTGTAACAAGGTTAACTTACATTCTGACTTTCTGGAAACTGCTTTAAAAACATTGAACTATTTTACTCCTTATTCCCGCCGGAGGACCCCCTCTCACGGAGACCGGTGAGACGCTTCACTCCAGCAGGACCTCCCGCTCTCAGGCTCTCCTGTATTTAAAACTCCTAAAATTGACGGGATGTTCAGACTCCTGAATCCTTCTTTCAGGGCTTCTCCTCAGAAACCTCAACATATGACGCTCATGAAAGTGACACAGATAGGATTTGAAACAAATCGGATCTGGGCTGTTTGGACTGTCATAAAAATCAGATCTGGGTCGCATGTGGAGAAAAAAAAATTCAGAATTGATGCACAGTTGACTGCCTGCAGTGTGAATGTAGCCTTAGAAATTTGTACTAAGATGTCGGTGACTAAGGCAAGGCTAGCCTCAAACACAAAACACTCCGATAGCAGTGTACACATAATCAACCTCAAAAATTTCCAGGTGTGCAAACCTTCACACAGACGCAAACAAGCCTCTAGAAACATTTCTCTGCTTCCACACCTAACAGAATAAACCTTCACTGTCTGTACGACAGGTAGGGCCGTATACTGTCGACATGAAAGACAACACTTGCCAATGCAGATGAGCACCTCCCACGCAGCTACTTCACTCTTCTCGCTCCTGGCAGAGCATACCAGTTTCCACCTGGATGGTCTTCAACTATGTGCCAAGAGGATATCACGGCAGCTCCATATCCTCTGTGTGACAGTGTAATTCCCTCTGCCCTGCAGCGATGTCTGCAAATCTCAGACAGTTTACACGTTCGTGTAGCTACATTGCACCGGGGAAGAGTGAACAGCCAAGTATTCTGTGCATTCATTTGTTTTCTGGCTCTTGCAGTTTAGCCCCTCCAACAAAAAGTGTTGCAAGTGAAAAAAAATAAAGAGTTGAATGAGAAAGGAAGATTTTATCTCTCCTTTAGTTTAGATGCCTCAAAGCCAAAGTTTTTCACTCATTCTTGAGTGCTTTCCTTTGTTAGTTATTACATAATTCAAATAGATTGAGAACATTTCATTTTTGTGCAGTGATTCAGAGCAACGGCTGGGGTTTGTTTGCAGAAAAAGCAGAGCATGGAAAAGCATCAGGTTCCAGGAGTTATTTAATCTGGGTCTGCAGACGTAACAACAAAAAAAAAACCTAAATTTCACACAATATCAATTTTTTCACTTGTTCACTGCACAAAAGATAATAAAAACAAAAGTCAAGCCAAACTTCTGATAACAGTTTCACTGTCGTCAAATATTGTAAAGTACACAAAACAATACTTTTACTTATACCTGTACCTTGCTGGTGTTGACAAAGAAAAGTGCAAATAAATATGAAATTGCTCTATTTGAATATGACAGATTTGTGTGTATGACACCTTTACAAGCTGTTCTTTTACATGGCCAGGTCCCTTTGGGAATATTACACAGGTATGCCTTATGCTCATGTCTCAATTTGTTTGTAATTCACAGTTATTTCATTTGCAGTTTGACCCGGCCAAAGTTTCTTGCATTTTTCATTCTCAGAAATGAAACTGAGAAGTCTTCCTGATGGGTTCCTGTGCTGCACAACACACCTGCAGCTACACTTGTCTGGCGAAAACTCCTAACATGAAAGCAAAGAATATAAAAACATGTTTAGTTTGCTTAATGAACAAACTTTACAACTTTGCATTTTTTCATTTAGTGACTCATAAATTCACATTTGTATTTCAGTCTGCACAAAACCTTTCATTCTAACACTGACTAACATGGTTCATTTACAGTATAAAGATAGACCCAAGATCTTATCTGACGTTTGACTTCAGACACTCAGTAATCCAATCGTGTCCACATTCAGAAGTGGTCAACTTGTTGCTGCACACCCAGGCGTTTCCTGTGCTTTAACAAGTAATGATAGATAAATCTCACACACATGGTGATAATTCGCAGGAGTGATCCAGGGTGTACAGAAGTTAGCTAAAGGATGGCTGGAAGCAACGCAGCTAAAGGAACAGGTGCATACGTTCGCTGGTGTTTAAACCGATTCTGCAACACTTTACCCAACATCCCCCCGCTCAATCCAAGCTAAGGCTATCAGACAACTAAAGCTGCGGCAGTAAAACGACCTAGTGACTGGAAAAGCCCCTGGGAGAATTTCTGTCTGGTTTCTGGGATCATCTATCAGTCCTGATGCAGACGAGACGTGTCGCTGCCCCGCAGAGTACAGGAACAGACTGATTTCTGTTGCACACAGTTTACGACTGATGTACAGAATTGTTCACCTATTAAAACAAATAAGAAAACCTGAAGCTATTAAACTTGTACAACACTTAAAGGTTAAGTCATTCAGTTTAAAGAAAAGAAGCAACTGTGTTGAATTTTAATCTAATCTGTGCACAATCAGAAGATGGAGGTTGTATTTTGTGCTCCCATCCACTTCCATCTCCTCCAAGACTCGCCACAGTGGTGTGGTCCTGCCCTCCTGGCCTTCAGGTCAGCAGACGCACCGATTACCAATGAGTCCTTGACACAAGACAAATCTTAGTGCTTTCATCTGTGTCGGTGGGTTGCCCTTCAAAGCCTCGTTACAGGATTGGCGATCGCCAATTAGCACAATTAGCTTTTGGCAAGCCGCCAGGGGCGTCACATGGCACCAGCTTTGCACTGATGGTACCTGACAAGCCAACAGATCTGTCATGATTGCGATCACAGACCATTACAGACCGTTAGTCGTTTAGAGAATGGACACAGATATGAAGATAAACATACATGCAACGATAAGAACTGAGAAAACATGAAACGTAGCCGTGCACGAGCGACGATCTATTTCTCTCTGGGATTATTAAGTATTTTTGAATTGAATTGAAAAAAAAAAATCCCTGTTCTTAAAACAAATATCTGCTTGCTTTAAAAGTCAGTGAAACCAAACCAGTACTAACTTTGGCCTCTTCTACAATATTACCAACCGTTTTTATAGATATTGTTAAAATTATAAAAATGAAAATTGCTGTCCAGGTTCTTTGAGCAAATAATTAATATCTACGCTACACCAACCAAAAATAAATAACACTAGCTCCAAGCATCATATTTCTTTACATTTTTCCCCATTTCAGATAAAATCAAGGTTTAATAACTCTAACCCTAACAGCCCTAATAATGTTTTTAATAATGGGCTTTTCTGAAAAGCTTCTTCCACACAAAGGCAACAAAAACGGATTCTCTCTCTAAAAACTGATTTTTGGAGTGGACAGGAGGCACCAACACAACAGAAAACCTCCGTCTTTTTTAAATATCCAGGGATATGTAAATGAGGCCGAATATAAAAGCAAAAACTGCAGACGACATTTTGCTGTAAAGTCGGGTTACAGTCTTGAGAAAGAGTTGGTCCTGCAGTGACCTGGCATGTGGCCGCTTTTCATACGTGTTCTTTTGCCTTTTTAAGTCAAAAACAGTTTGTTTGTGAGGCTCGGCCCCCTTAATGTTTTATCCAGAATGCTTAGTTGAGGGGTTCCCATGTCAAAGTCTTTTGACGAGATGTAAAACACTGGCAAATAAAGTGACTTTATGGGAGGAAATCTAACACAAGCAAGGGTTCGCTGCTTTTACAGAGTCAAAAAAACCACAGATACAGTATAGGGGGATAACATCTGGAGGTGGTTGTAGCATGAAGGAATGCAGATGCAAAAAAACCCAAAAGCCGGGATACAGTGTAAGCATCATTAGATCAATGTGAAAACATAACTGCGTGTGCATGCATTCCATGTAACAAAAGTAAAGCGGTGCAGGCCAACACACGTAGCCTGATTACCTGTATGAAGTAACCCCGCTGAAAGATCAGCTGTCAAAAGTTGCTTTGTAGAGACCAAATGAAAAAGTGCTCAAATGGCTACAAATAGTAAATCGCCCCATTCATAATAAAGAGGTCTAGGAGCTACGGCACCACCAAATAAAAAATAAAAATGGCTGACAATTCAGAAAAAAGCCATCCTGACTCTGCTGAGGTGAGCTAATCTGTTTAGAACAAATGAAACAGAGGTGATGTGACATTTGGAGAAGCTGTGCTAGAACTACACAACAAAACACACACTCAAAGGCAAACGCCCGTGGCCTGGATACAAGTATCGCGTGGTTGAAATGCTCCAGACGATGGGCAGGGAGATAAGCAAAAGGGGAGGTCTGGGGCACTGACGTTCTCCCAAAATACCATTCTCATTTTCAGACTTGTGTTTCCTCGGACCTCTCGCTTTTCCACAGCCCAGTCGCTGTAATATCTGTGCTTGGCTACTCTGTGTTTCTAAGGCAACGCTGCTGGGGATCAGTATCTCCTCTCAAAACAAGAAGCCAGGAAGTGTTCCATCTGTCATTATCACAATCTACCCAGCTCTGCGGTTCCCCCCTCACAACAAATTCACTTTTCATGGTTTCCTTTCCACAGAAGTGTTTCTAAACCTTTCCAGCTGAAGAAGCGAGGAAGGAGACCACAGTGTCTGGGTATGAGCTTATTTGCTTGTGGTTAAGTTGGAGGGCAGCTGTAGACCCGAGGGTGAGGAGTGAAGTGACCACATAACATAATGTTGTGTGCTAGTGTCCATAATGAGAGGGGGAAAATCAAACTGTTGAGTAAAGGAGGCCCGCTGACGTGACATGCACGAGTGTGCTCAATGAGCACATCCGCACAGCTGCTCGAGGATGGGCGTGTTGCAACACACCTTGTCGACAACACTCAGACGATTCTGGAGGTCTTGAAGAGGAGACAAGTTGAAAGAGTCGACTTAATTATCTGGCTTGAATATCAAAGACGTTCTAATGAAAACACCTCCATCTCTTATTGTCCTGTGCTTCCTGTCAGGTTGCGTCTTCACATAAAAACACCTAGAAACGAGTTTGTAATCGACATTAAATGTTTCCTGCCAACACCTTATGATCAGTTGCTAAACTGCACTGGGAAGAAGTAGATGGAAAGGAAACGCAGCCAGTTATTCACCTACCCACACACACGCTGGTAGTTAGGAGCTACAATGCAGCCACAGCTGCCCTGGGGCGGAATGACAGAAGCGAGGCTGCCCATAACTGGCACCACTGGTGCTGTCTGACCACCACCGGCAGGCAAAGTGGGTGAAGTGTCTTCCTCAAGGACAGAGTAAGCGGTGCTAGAACCTGCTACCTTCTGATTACGGGACGGTCACTTCACTCCTCTGCCACCATTATCCTAGTAATGAACTGTCCCTTTAAGCTTGGTTTATGCTTGACGCGTCCGCGAGGTCCACACGGCTCCGTGCGGCAAAATTGCGTAATTTTAACAACCACGCCCCTCCTCATGACCCAAACTTTCCGCACCGCGCACCTAGGAAATTTTCTAACCACGCGGACGGTCGGACGCGGAAAAACATGGCGGACTGGCAAGAACTATTATGGCAGAGGTTGGTAAATACAGACATTTGTATGATTCAGCTCTCAGAGATCACCGTGATCAACATGTTGTTAATAATTCTTGGAGAGAAATAGCTCGCACTGTCGGAAAAGACGAGGACACTGTTAAAAACTGCTGAAATGCCACGTTGTAAACAACAGTAATTTCTACTTCTACTATGGTGTAGTGTTGGATGCATGCCGTAGAGCTCCATGCTGCCCCCTACAGTTTGGGAGAATATTGGCTCACCGCAGAGACAAGCCGCATGAACCATAAACGCTGCGAGTTGTGAAGCGCGTTCCATCCGCGAGCCGCATCACCAAGCGGAAAGTAAATGTGTCAAGCATAAACCAAGGCTTATGCTCTTCCTCATCATGTGCCGCAGTGGTTTTTCTATAATTACTAGTAGGCATCTAAGAAAATATCAATACACTGAAATATTGTGATATTTTGTGTCATGAAACTAAATCGATATTTAAGTGTAGGGCTGCAACAAACGATTATTTGGATGATCGATTAATCGGATGGGGTCTCGACACGATTAATCGATTAATCGGATTACATGGTGAAATTTTTAAAAACTGCTAGGGAAACGTTATTTCTCTCCTTCCTTCACTTTATTTAACACAACATTATTAGAAAACAGTTCAATAGCAGAAAAACAACATGCCATCACCTAAATTGTCTTATAAGGTGTATAGACAGAGACCCTAAGCTACATCTATCTGTGACCTAAAATGCTTGGTCCAAGTTAAACAGCTTAAGGGCAATTCTCATCTGTTTTGTTTGATCTCATCTGTTGACATTTATTTTAAATGTAATTAAACATAGGCTGTGAATTAATCAAAATTGATCACTATTTCCAAAAATGACTGAAAAAATACCAAATAAAACAAAAGTAAATGAATGGCATCCTCCTTGCGATGATGCCCTGGGCAACTGCCATAAAGTCACATCAAGAAATGCTGCTGATCATTCCAATGATCCCAAATAGACTCACATTAGGCCACATGAAAGCAACTGAACCCAAAAATATATTAACCAGTATATAACTGCACTCTCACACAACACGCCTGCAGCAACAGTTAGGACTCCTCCCTCCCTTTTAAAAGCGTTTTTGCTTCTGAGGACATTGTGGTTGTAAAACCACATGCTAGTAGTCTGGCCCCGGTGTGATCAACCAGTTTCTGCGGGAATGTGACGGCGGAACCAGG